ATAAGTATTTTAAATGATGGTGATAATCCATATTACATCACTGTAATTAAATTTATCTATTGACTATTTTGTACATTTTTGTCAACTATTTTGACTGCCAGTGTAATTAATTGAATATAATATTTAGTTAAAATATTTTATCTAGGTACGTTTGAAACAGGCAATAAAATAAAAGGATAATTCATTTAAAAATATCAGTTTTGTTGCACATGTATGTTATGTATATAGGTAGTAAAATATTATGGATTATAATATGTATATTGTATAATGTATAATTTGTAATAGCTATGATAATTTAAAGTAATAAATAAACAGGTTTATAAGATGTATTGTAATACCATTCTTCGAATAATTGTTTTATAAGATATAGATAAATATTTTACATTTTCATGTAGGTATATCAAAAWTAATAAAATCCACGTTAACATAGTATATTTGTTTTCTTATAAGTTATAATTTATTTTAAATCTATAGTTAATCGTATTAAGAAATTGTTGAATATACATTATACTTCCTAATTAAAATTGTTGATGAAGTACTTTATGTGAATTAGATTCTATGTCTATAGTTTTATACCGATAGCTAATAAAAAAAAAAAACAAGATTCTATGTATAATATTATCACCATGGGCACCTTTAGTCCATAAGTAACTTTTCAAGAGGGTCAAAACAACAGAATTCTTAAATGTTTTATTTTATGCTATCAACATAATTCTAATATTTATTACATTTTAAATTCATATAATTTTTTTCCAGAGGGGGGAAATTGCCCCGTCATGACCCCTCCCCCCTTCCAAATGGGCGCCTATGACTATTATCACTAAGGCTCTCAATTGTATGCATTTGGATATTTTTATTTATTAAATTAAAAAATAGCTAGGTAAGATACAAATTTGAATCTTAATCTAATGTGTTGGAGTGTTGGTATGCAAAATTAAATGTTGCATATTTGGAAAATTTTTAATTTGTATGCATATTTCAGTATTTTTCTAAAATATAATGCATATTATTTATGAAAAAATAGTACCTATTTTATTAAGTTATTAATACTAATACTTATAACGCTAAGTCATACGTACAACTCGCGGATGTGAAAAAAAACTTAGCTGAAAATCGACATGCATTTTTATTTGAAAATATAACCAAGTCTTTAATAGTTAACTGTAACTCTCCATGTAATTTTGAAATTTTATAAAAATATATTAAATTTGTTTCGATTGATTTTTGTTCGTGAATTTTTATTTAGATACAATATACAATATTGAATACATCATACAAAATACAATTAAGTTATATCAAATTTAATTCGTTTTTTTATTCCATATTAATTATTTAATGAATTAYATTCATTTTTAAACTAAATAAATTTAATTAAAATGCATTTTTGTTTACATATTTTCACATATTTTTRCATATTTGAATGAAAATCAGTGCACATATGCATGCATATTTCGTACATTTTTAGTGCATATAATTCCGGGCCCTAATTATCACTAATAATTGATTCAATATAGGTAAATTGTCTAAACGTGCTGTAACTATATATGTATAGGTTATGCAGTGTGAATAATAAAATAGTTAATACAACACTCGTATCAATCTTCTGTAAAGATTATAATATGTTTTAAATACGTTAACGGAAGCAAACCGTTTTTTACCAGTTTATACTTACATTATAAGCGTGCATTTTGCTTAAAAATATTCCATATGTAGTCACGTTATTTTCATAAAAATAGTAACTTTACGCCTCTAACCATGGTTATGGTTATTTAATTGCACATCACCTGMAGCAGCAGTAATACTGTTATAATGCGACACGACGATTATTCTGCTGCAATGGGTCTAACCGGGAAGGGAGGGAGTTAGGAGGAGAAGGAGGTCTTAAACTTTATGGATAAAAAAAAATCTTCTTGTTCTTAATACAATATATAATTATAACAATAAAAATGATGTAATAATGACAATAATAATAATAATAATAATGACTATGACGATTATTGCGTTGAACGACGAGTTAATTTTTTAATTTTTTTTTCATTATTATTTATTATTATAACCATGTTTTTCCTATTCCCGCAGACTACAGCTGCCGACCGACGTCACGACGAAACCGATTCGCCGGCGCCGTCGGACCCGTACCGGTCGTGGGACCACCGCCGGCGGCGATCGGCGGACGGCCATCGCAATAACAAACCGACGGCCGCGGTGGCGCCAGAACCGAAACCAGACTATTCGCCGGAACCCGAACGGCGGGCCAGCAACGGGTCGTCGACGGCGGGCGGACGTTCGAAAAAGGTGTACCAAAAGACGAGGTTTGCGGCGGATGCGCGACCGGCGCCCGACAACGGCGGCAACGGTAAACAGGAGCGGAAGAAATCGTTCGGCGAATCGTTCCGGCGGCTGGTGGGCAAGTTCACGGGCGGGCACGGCAACAAGTCGGACGCCGATCGGAAGAAAAACCGGAAGAAACCGGAATCGTCCGAGCGACGGCACGCCGACAGCGGCGACGACGGCGACTACGGTTACGACGGCGACGACGGCGAGAACACCTACAGGAGTTACGACGGCGGCGTCAGGCCAGCCGCTGACCGCCATCAACGGTTGTTCGGCAGCACGCAGACGTTGGACAGACACCGAGCTGGACGGACGGCCGACAACAAACGTAGCAATAAGGCGCGCGACGACGACTACGACTACGACGAAGACGACAACGACGACGACATTGACGGGTACAACGGGCACCGCGGTCAGCACGTCAGAGGACAATCGCCGGTGATGAACGGCGGTGGCAGGACCGGCAACGGAGTGCACAGATACTATTTGGGCGAAGATCCGTTCGGAGGTAGCATTTACGGCCGCGAGAGGGAATACGACGGTGGAAAGCGCAGATCGCACAAGAAGAACGGCGGCGGCACTTACGACTCACCGCAACACAATCACCAAACTCATTACGTCCAGAGGTAATATCAAAATCCCTGCCACGTTATTATCCTTAAGTTTTTACCTGCGTCGCTCCAGGTTAGGGCAGATCCTGAAATGTATAGGTTTTTGCCTTTCCACCACGACAGTCTTATTTGTTTTTTCATCGTTACCGCACACTAACTCGATAACGTATAGTTTTAAACTTTTCGGCGAATTTTTTTTTTACCATCATATAATTATTACGATAATTCAACCTCAAGTCACAAGACTAAAGTTTATATTAATTATTGGAAATTTAATTCTGGCGATTATTTAAAAAAAATTTATTTTAATACAGCCTATTATAGTCGAGTACGGAGTAACTAATACCAGTGTACTGCTATCATGCATAATATCAAAGTAATCGTATTTTTACTTTTCGTTTTAGTTATTTAGTTCGTAGAATACTAATTATTTGATCTCACACTATTAAGAAAATATAATATAATAACTGTTATAAACTTATAACTGTTGTAAGACAAATAATTGAACAAAGGATCCGAGTACCTAACCTTCCTATTTATTGTGATGTATTTTAAACTTTATTTTTTTTATAATACTTCATCAAACATTTTATAATATTTAACTCTGATAAGTGATAACAGATAAATATATAAGCTATATTTCTTACTTTGCCATTTTGATCTAGTTATCGAATAGATTATGTTGTATTACTATATTTACTAATTATATAAATGTAAAATATACATACCTAATCAGTTATTATCATAGAGTATAAAATATAAAAATTATTTTACTAAAACAGCGTCCTAATGATATTTTTAATATAATATCCTAATGTATTATTGGACTTAGCGACAATTAATTATTTGTATTATGTAAAAATAGTATTAGGTGGCTCAATTTTTGTTTTTTTTATCTTAATTCATAATAAAATAAATTAATATTACTTCGCGTTTATCTAAATATATTTATGCATAACCCATATAATATATCTTTTAACCTACGAATCATATACTCCGTCACCACTCATGTTAACTATTGATACTTATCGATTTACAATTTTCGGTCGATATTATTTCGTTACAATGACAATGATTATAAATAATAAAAATCCGAGATCATTTCCATTGTTATTGTGTATACGATTCAGCATCACAATATGGCAACAAAAAAACGATGGCCCTACGCTTTACAAGTCGTATCGTAACAATCAACCGTGTATAACATTATTAGCATAGAATAGAACACTCCTTTAAATATTAAAACGCCAACATGATTATTAGCCTGTTTTTTTTTTTTTTGTATCTACAAGGAGGCTGGCGAAAATTGATAAACGCACACGGACTTGATTGTCAGTGCCGTGTGCTAATATCTTAAAAAGGCGAAACCTGTTTTTATTTTTTTAAATAAAGTATTTACATTAATTGCTACAAGCTGATTTCGCACGAGGCGTGTCTCGTGTCTGCTGTCGTTGTGTTGTTATTATTATTTGCGTGTGCGAATGAAAGTGAACTGCGGGCTACAATTTCCCCGTGCGAGGGAGACATGCCACAGAATATACTTATAGATTTGCGTAGGCCACAGACGATTTCTCTGAGATTTGCGGAAGCTTTGAAATAGACGCACACATACACACTCAATCGCAGTGATTTTTGTCAGTTTATGACACACCTAATTACATTGTGCGCAATACGTCGAACTAGATTATATTGGACGAAATCCACTCAATTAGGAATAATATTTTTTTAGATTTAAAGTTTATTTTATCAATATTGTGTCTATTCTTTTGAGATAAAATATTATATTCAGGCGTTATCTAAACAAATACTTAATACATAATATATTTTTAGTTAACATTCATATTAACGGTTTAAGTCTGCACTTGTTTTTTCGAGTGCAAAATGCACTACGATTACGTTTTGTGTAATCCCATGTACAATTAGGTGTCATTTGAAAATTTTGTTAAATTAGTTAACAAATAATATTGTTTTGATTTTAATTATTTATATATAATTCCCTACGTTGTATTTCCGTACAATGTACAAATAATATAAAAAGTATAGCTATTATATTAATTTAAAAAGTTTCAATAGGATTTTTATAGTTCAAACTAGTTAAGCTCTAATAATGTTTCTAATTTGTAATTAAATTTTGATTTAGTTAATTTATAATATCATCCAAAATCTAATTATAGAACACTTAATCAAAAATAATATTAATGCTTTACGCACATAGGTAATTTAAATTTCCAAGTGTAAGTTTCTAGTTTGACATTTTCTATGTCAATGATTGACTTCTCCTGTATTCGTAGGTAGGTTTCATTATAAAGTTTTAACAATTAACAAATTATAATAAAATATTAGTCATGATTATAGAATTACGCGTATTAGACAATCTAATGATTAGACGAATATCCTCAGGCTATATTATTAAAATAATAGAGTAAAGAATAGATTTAAAAAACCGACCTTGGATTTGGATACCACTTAAAATATAATCATTCGAAATTGGCAATGGCCAAGTCTTTTAATTGTTTTAATATATTATATAGACACATTTCCCTGGTATAGTGACCACCATAATACTATTATAGTTGGTAGTAACACACGCAGTTTAGATAATTTCGAAATATACATTGTGTGACACTATTACGCACTGTGGCTAGTCGATACTCCGTTTTCGGTGCTTTCAAGGTCGAGGCACGGCACTTCATTTACGTAGGGACCAATTATTCACGAGAAAATAATGTAATTAATTTGAAACGTTGCGTTGTAACACACCTACGTCCTGTTTCAAACCTAAACCTACCTGATGACATACATCGTCTAGTTTTGACTTGTTTACGTTTGTTTTCCACGACATATTTCCACGGACCGACAACAGCACGTAGAAAACGCCCACGTTAAAAATCCAAATCAGGAAATATACGGCTACTTCTTATTTCCTACGATATAATGTCACCATAACTTGACTAGATAGCGCAATTAAAACATTTTTTTACTAGAATATTAGATTTAAAAAAAAATCAATTGTAGATAGGTACTACCTATTTGTACATAATATTAAATGAATTACCGCAAGTACCTACCTATTAAGTAAACTATATGTAATACATACCCATAATGTCATGTCTCATGTAGGTACCTATACCTACTACATTTCATCAACACATTTTAGTCACTGGTGATTAATCAGGTTAATATAATAATATATTGAAAATTGAAATATAAAACGCGAATCAAAAAGTAAATGTTGATATTAATATTTTTAGTGAATAGTGTTATTCAGTTATATAGACTAAAAAATAAATGTTGCAGGACTATACCAGTGAACACGACCAGTACTACATTGGGTCGATTTAGTAAGTCCACGGGACGTCTGTTAGCTGACGATAACAACAGTAACGTGTCGGATAGAGCACAAACGTTGCCGAGAAAACTCCGAACGGAGAGCAAAATAAAAAAGCAGGTAAACTAATTTAATTAAAATCATTCGTATAGACCGTACAGTTGACCTGCACCCTAATCTAACCTGCAAAGTTGTCGTGTATCAAGATTATTGTCCGCATCTATCTAATAGTGATCTGAGTAAGAAAGTCGAATTTGAGCTAATTTTCAGTTCAATATTATAAAACATAGATATCCCTAGTACTGGCTATTACCATGGCGGATTAAATAGTACCTATATTTAATCTATGCTATTACTAACATTTGCCATGCCACAGACCATAGATCTATCATCTATATAAYTATTATAGATTTTGATATAATTTATCTAGTTTTTACGATTTAAAAATAACGATTTCCATCGTGACTTTTATAAACCGAATTGTATCCAAGTCTTTGCATTCGTAAACGGTCAATATTATTTTARTAATTATTACGTACTTATATGCTTATTRCTTACCAGCTATAAATACTTATAATTTAAAATTAAGTAGACCTATCGTAAAAATGTCACAAACGTAGACTCAGTATATTAATAAACACCGTGGCTCTTTGCTCGTCCCACTCCGTGTCTGCCGTCAAACTTTTAAATATTTTCGGTAATTATTCGTCCAAAATTCGACTTTTACGTATCGATAATATTCCACTTTGTCCTGTAACTATATATATAAAATTATAAACTGATTAATAATTATTTAAATAAAAAATAATAATAATAAGTGAACTTTGATAAAATAATTCGCCGGGCAGTCGCATAATACGCTATAATAATATTTAAACGGCACATTACAATAATTCGGTTTCGTTACCATCACAGGTGCACGCGTCCCGGGAGAACGAATACGGCGGCGTTACTAACCGGTCGGCGGCCAACTCAGGAAGCATGATCAACGTGTCATTCGCCAACGGGCCGACGAAACCGCAACGGACGTTCTCGAAACCGTCGTTGCTCCGGAGCCAGAGCTTCAACGTGCAACCGGATCAGGGACACCTGCAGACGCGCCGGTCGGTGAGCACGTTGCACCGGCTAGAAGAGTCACCGCCGCCGCTCAAGAGCCCGAACATCGTGAGCATGTTGAGCAGGAGCACCAAGGACCTGTCGGTGGGCGCGGACGACGGGTACAGATCGCTGTCCGGCAGTTGGGCCAGCCCGGGAGAGTTGAGCAACGGCGGCGGCACTGGCACTGCGTACCGGCGGGACGATCCGAAGAAAAAGATCTTCATGAAGGGCCTGCTGGACCACGCGCCCGAGCTGTACAAGACGCTCAGCTACCAGGAGGACGCGACCACCGCCGGCCGGCGTTATTCTCCCGTCAAAATGGACAGGCCGTATTCGAGCAGCGGCCACTCGTCGTCGCCGACCATCAGGCACCGCGGAGGCGGCGAGGTGACCAACCGGAGCGTGACGCGCCGTGGCAGCAAGGACGATTACACCGAGACGGTGCGGATCACATCCAAGTCTGACGATCCTTACCGGCCAAGCGTCACCAACACGGTGCAGAACTTCACCAAGAAAAAGGTGCCCAGGGACGGCCGGGTGGAGACCATCGAGTCGACCGAGACAAAGACCGTGACCAAGAGCCGGTACAACGGAGGCGACACCATCAACGGGTACAATAACGGTGTCGGCGGCGGCGGCGGCGGAGTGGTGATCGAGGTTAGGAACGGCAGGAACTGATTGTAATATCAATACGGCGAAACCTCTAAATACCGGACACCATCGGTCGCTGACAATTTATGAGCAGTTCGGAGTTGTTCGCAATTCAGAGGGCTCACTTTGGTCATGTCTATTCCCAAAAAAAAACTTCCACCACAATGTTAGGAGAGGTTTCACTGATGTAAATGATGATTATACAATATATGAGGTCAGCCGTTTTTTATTAAATATTGTCACCATCGACACACCTTCGATCGTTATTATAATAATATAATATTTCATACACTTATATTACTATCAATAACCAAAAATATTAAAATAATTTATGTGCGAGAAAATGATATATTATATGTTGTTGTTTCTACTGGTAAAAATACCGAATATAATATTTTGTTATTAGCTCTATAATACACCTAGTACCTAGGTATACCTATATATAAATAATATATGTATTTATGTCATAATCGTATATATATATATATGTATAATGTATCAAGATCGTAGCTTTAAAGTTTATGATCATAATCGATAATATAGTTATTAATTATACGTATATTTTTTTGTACCTATCTAATTGTTTTTAACATAATAATATTATCGTTGTATTTTTATTATACAGAGTTAATAATTATTACATTGAGGAACCGATAACAAGAACCCATGCCATTAATACATTTTATATTTTACTTTATTATTATTGCTACTAATGAAAAAAAATATAAAACTACTGTCCAGCGACTAATTTATTTTTAACAGACATTTATATTTAAATTTAGTTAATTGTGTCGCACACGACGTGTAAGTACTAAACATTTGTAAATAGGTAATTATTGTTTTATTATAATATCGCTCAATAACGTTGTGATTTTTTTTTTTTTAATGTACTATGAGTGATTTAAATTAGTGTATGAGAGGTGTTAATAAAAATTAACGCTACTCGTGTATGTTTGTACTGCGTTTAAAATAAAATATAATCTTAAAACAAAAATATGATTGGTATTACCAAATGACTGTCTGAAAAAAAATACTAGATAGCCACTATGGGTCACCTTTTTTTCTGTTTTAACCACTATGGGTAACTTACGGTAGTATATRCAGCATTTAGTTCGRTTAGTTTTACACAATGAGTAAATAATTTAAATAATTTGCTTAACAGTTTTTATATAATTAGTTGTTTTATTKTTTATATGATTAATAATTGAATTTATATCTATTAAAAATTACCAACAATTGATCAACTATGTGTATTGAAATGGTAGTAAATAAGATTTATTTTGTAAAACAAAAACATTTCAGGGGAGGGGGCAGAACCCTACCCCCGGGTACGCCACTGATTACCTAAATATACTCGAGAGTAAATATAAATATAAAAATAAAAATCATTATCTTATACACTTCTCGTTTTCATTTAGTAGCTAAAAAAATCCATTAGTCATTTTCATTTCAAATTTTTGTATTTGAATGAATTTTACTTGTACAATATAAGTTAAACTATGTTCCTGGTTCCTGTATATCAGGGGTCTCCAACCTACGGCCAAGCTAATTAATGTTCTGAAAATAATATTATATTAGTTTTCTTGTTTTTAATTTATTTTTCTTTTGGCGTTATTCATAAAAACTTATAATAGTCATACATAATATATAATACTAACACTAACTATTAATAGAAAAAGTATGTTACATTGAACTGAAGAAACACTAAACAGTAACTCAGATGTTACATTTTATTTTATTGTCAAGTTGAATTTCCACAAGGTGGATATGAATTTTATGTATAATATGTCATCAGTGTATTTAATGGAGTATTAAAAAATATTAAAATTATAAATTGTATATAAACTTGCAATAACATGTAATATGTTGACACATTTTAAATATAATGAATGAAAAAAAAATAAAAAAAATATTAGAAGCATTATAAAATATTTTTTTAAGGCCAATTTTTAAAACTGTAATATAAACTGTACAACATAAAAAGTATTAGTATTCTGGAATAAAATACAAAGAAAAAGTATTTGTATACTTAACAAGACTGGTAATCAGTAACTGAAAGAAAGAAAGAGTCAAGCTTTAAAAATATTCTGAAAAAAAACATGATTGTTATTACATAAAACCAGCTTCTACAAAATTGATTTTTTTTTTTTAGTTGAAATTAAAAATTAATGACCAAAATTTGAAATTTTCGCCTAATATTCACATTAGTGATACAATGTTCAAAATATTTTTTGTCATTTTGTATTATTTATTAAAAGGCATTTATTGATTTTCAAGTCAATAGTTTCTTATCAACTTATGAATGAAACAAATTATTGTTTGTTAGTAAAAATAAACCTTAAAAAATGTAATACAATATTCTTGGGTTCATAAATTGTTCTTACAGCAATCTAAAAATATTAAAAAACACAAGTACATTATTTTTTTTATACATGTTTGAATGTTTCAGTATAAAAAGTAATAACTAATAACAGTTTAAATTATTTGATTAAGTAATAACAGTTGATATAACTTTGTTTGTAAAAAACAATTTTTAATTATTACATAGACATGAAGTTTACAATTTTTATTACCCAACTAATAATTGGTATGGACAAATCATTTTTTTTTTTTTAGTTGGAGAACTTGGTCCTTTTAGTTACCATCTACTGCCACCGTTGGTCATTAAATTTTTGAATATATATATATATATATATTAAGTGCAGGCAATCGTATTAGTTGAATAAAAAAAAAAACAATTTTAGTGAAACAATAAAATAATTTATACAAAAATAATTTGGAGCTAATAAAAATAATATAATAATATGGTATTAATGATTTTGTCTTTGACAAGAATATTTTATAGTATAATTTGTGTGATATTAAATTCCTGATAACAAAACACTTAATACTAATTAATATTAAAAAACTAAAATGTGATAAATTTACAGTAGGTAGAACTCTTGTATTAAACTAAAACAGATAACTTTAATAATTCATTATTTAAGTATTGGTATTTTGAGGACTGAGATGTTACATTTAAATTTTTTTTTAAACATGAATTTCACAGACTAAAGCTTGTTTCATTTGTTACGATTCAAAATAATTAGTTCTCCAATATTTTAAATTATTTTGCCTTACATTTTGATCACATTGTACACTATATTTTTGATATAGTATGTAATATGCATAAAAAATATTAATAATTTAGCAATAACAATTACCTATATATAACATAAATTAAATATTTCTTTTAAGATAAAAATTTATGTTGTTCTAATAGTATTAAAATTCTATAAGAATAATGATCATAAAAGTAATACTAAATCAGTCTTAAAGTATACTACTAAAAATACAATATATTTATCAAAACGACAAAATATGTTAAATTGGTACAGATATACATCATAAATGGAAAAAAATAGAAATATACCTACAACAAAAATAATTATTTAAACTTAGTAAGTTTGATTAATTAAATAAATAATGTTTCAAACAGAAATTAAAGTTAGATAAGTGATTTAACAGTAGAAGAGTTTCACTTAAAATAATTTTTATTTATATGGAGGATATTGAACTTAATAATATGTTAAAATTAATTAATTTGAACAAAAATATATATTTTTGGAGTCTTTTTTACAAATTATATTTTATAAATTATATTCAATGTTTACACATCATAAATACATACATTTATAATATTTTGTTTAATTCATTAGAATAAAAAAATAAAATCTTGTTAAAAATACATTGTTTATGTATGTAGGATGAGTAAAAAAAAATTATCTTTTTAGGTTATTAAATATTTTATAAGTCTTTTTTCTATGCACTATATAACTTATTGCCGATGACACTGTAGTAGCAGTTGTTAGCCACCACAACGCTTTGAGTGCAGGGTGATCAACAAAGTCGAAAACTGGAGCAGCTAAAGTAGCACAAACCATTGCTAATTGAACTGTAGTATTCACCTTGCTTATGAACATGGGTGCTAGTTGAACATTGGTATTGGTGACATCAAATAATTTACTTAAAGTCCTGGGTTTAGGTATTGACATATAATGAATTTGAAAGGCAGCACCAATTAAAACCAGATCCCTTAATATAATTATACCAGTAAGGTATATTGGGATTAAATCTATATAAGTCAATGTTAAAAACATAGTACCCACAAGTACTTTGTCAGCCATTGGGTCCAAGAAACTACCTAATTTCGAYTTCTGTCCTTGGAAATTCCTAGCAATCCACCCATCAATTAAGTCTGTTACACTTGCTATKGCCACAAAACTGAGAGCATACTCAAAGTTTCCATTGACAATAAGATAACCCAGAAAAGGACTTAGGACTATTCTAGTCATACATAGCATGTTAGGTATTGTCCAAACATTCTCCTTTATAGTATCCCGTACCTTTGATTTAGTTTCCTTGATGTCATCCAGAATGAATTTACCTTTGGTTTGAAATTTTTGTTTAGTTTTTTGTAAAATAATCTGTTTATCTCGAATAKCATTTTTAAATTTATTGTGACGCTTTGAAAATCGATCATCCGCAAAATAAACATTTGCCATAATCCTGTGATTTTTATACGATCGGACTGACAAAAATGATTTATTATTTGGGAGTACAGTTGGAAAACACATTCTGTACTGAGGTAAATACATTTTACAGCAACATTGGCTCGAAGCAAATATATATTTCAATAGGTGATGCATTTTTCACTCAGCTTTATAGTTCTTTCTTCTTATCACTGTGAAAATAAAATATTTTAACATTAAGAACTAATATAATGTTTTATAATTGCATAAACAAAACATTAAATACAATAGTTATTTATTAATTCATTCTCATGATTTTAATGTTAATAAGTAAAAGCCTAACCAAATAAAATATACATAAACATAACCATCATTCATAATATTATAATATTAAAGTTGCATCAATCTTTAATTGTATTGTATTTTACTTTTTTTCACTTAGAGACTCTTCTCATTTAATTTAATTTATTATTACTACAAACAAAAAGGGTAGAATCCAATCATAACAATCATCATAGGCCTTATAAGAATCAGGTCATGTTTTTCAGATGACAACAAATATTTTCGTTACTAAAAATGAGTGCTCAAATGTTTTATACAAACCAATCAATAAATTGGAAATTTCATTGTGTCAGGTTTTAATTTCAATACAACTCAGATTGTTGATTCTGTGTTATTTTTAATTTGTTTGTTGTAAAAATATTTTGTAAGTAATAAAAGAGATAAGTATTGCTTTGCTAGTTTTTTCAAGTGCTTAGAATTAAATTACAGACATTTTATTTAATATGGTAATGTAATTACTACAATATATAACAATGGTCTTATTGTAGTGTAGAGTAATACTTTAGACATTTAAATCTTAATAAAACATAATATGACTATTACATGGTATTCTATTATACTCACTTAATATGTTAAAAAAATGCGTTATTCAACAGCAAAGAGTTATCTTGTTTTGAATCGTTAATGAAATTATAGATAAGTAATATAATTTAGTAACTTACTTACTTTAAAAGATTTAAATTTACTTCAATATTAAAGTATTTTCATTACTTTAGTACCTATTGTCGTGTCATAGTTAATAGGTRGGAACTTAATTACTTAATAATTTGGTAAGCTCGAGTAGTCAAATGTTAATGTCTGATATTGCCATATTGGTGCCCGATAGGGTCAGATCTCCCGAAAAGTGATAAGCGTACTAAGCGTGATAAACACTGAGCAATGACATAGATAATATAATATGTAAATACAAAACATTATTTTAATTTTAAAAATATTCATTAATTTATCTAAATTATCAGAACGAAAGGACATAAACGTCATAAACCTACAAAAATTTCGATTAGTGCATCGAAAAAATGCGTTCTTTGTTGTTCCTTCGTTCTTCCAAAAACGAACGGCAAACAGCTGCTGTAACTCTGAGGTTAGGTCCATTTAAAATCCCKCCAATTTATCAAAAATCCGCTATCACAAAATAATAATTCTATTGTTTTGAACAGTTTCGACTTTCGACCATTCCATTGCATRTTCCAACTGAAAAATTGTAATTAGTACTTTTAAGTTTTAATATYTTCAACAGTTTTAAGGACATTTTCCAACATGATGCACCCTGCCGAAATTGAGTTCATGGCCGAAAATGAGATCATTCAGATTGTGCCAACATTCAATCACGCCGGCCACGTACACCTTATTTGTGGTTCTTATGGTCCGTTCCGAGCAGGTCTGCCGTTGAACGTTCCCATTTGGGTGGCATTGAATCTGCGACAAAAAAAGACGTGTCGTATCCTAGCTCCCGATTGGATGGCCGTCGATAAGTTGCAAGAAAGACTTGAAGAAGAAAAAGCGTCTAAGTACAGTAAACACATTGACCATATTATTGTACCATTCTCTTTACTTTTGATTTTTTTTCAGATTTTTTACACAGCTACCAAGCAATTTCTACCTGGAAATTACACAGATGTTATTGACTGTAGCCAGTGAAGATATTCCGCAAGGGAACGATATAAAAACGGCAGTTAAAGTCAGTTGATATTCCTTGTTTTACAAATTATAATAATGATATAAAATTCACCTATATTTCATATTTCATATATTTCATCCAAAACTCAGAATTTAATTAATTTTAGTTATATTTTTATGCATATCAGGCAGTATTATGTTCAGATTCTTATTTTTATTTGTGATATTTTGATGGGAAATACATAATTTAAATATCTAATGTTCCTTTTTATTTTTCATGTAGTATAACAAACTAGTTTGAAATAACAATAGAATTACACATTCACCTATACCTAACGACTAATGCACCTAACTGACCTAACCAGTAATATATCAATAGTTGATTGACTATATAAATTATCTATTTCTTAAACATTATTAACGAATACAGTTCCATGTATAATTGCACTCTAACYACCTACCACTCTTTTTCTTTTTTTAAATCTAGGCAATATCTTTAGTTTTAGACTACATAGTCARAATTGAGCTCAAACTCTGAATTTTGGCGGTTTTAAGTTTCCTCAACTATGCTACTGTATTATTGTATTTATATTTGGAAGTATTAAGAATACTCCCACTTTTAGGTAGACTATTTCCACTCCTAGGAGTTATGAAGTTCAGTCTCAATCTCATGTTTTACTACTGAGGCCGGCAAGTGTAGCGAGTGTTTGAACTAACTCTAACTAGCAAAATTAAATAATGATTTCAGATTCTTGTTAATTGTTTTTGACTTCAGTTTTCAAAATTTTTATTTGCCTAGTTTTTGCTTGATAACCAAATTGTCATAGTTCCAATAATTACCATCTCATTACATTTAAACATTTTTTTTTAAATATGTAAAATTTGTTTAATATTTTTTGCAGARCGAATAGTATTGTCATTAACTAATACATTTGGATAACAGTATTTAGCTTTATATTATCATCATTTAACAACTTACTGATAATTTTTAAAGACTATTGAACTAATTACTTAATCACTTAAAAACTTAATACTCACACAACTTAKAAGATAATTGACTTTCTATGAAATACTTTTTTTAGAATATTTGATATGTTAATTTAAATATTCAATATAGATAATATTATTAAAAATATATTTTCTAAAACAACCAGTTTCACAATATTAGTCCATCCTAATATTTAAGTTTAATAATAATATATTTAAATATACAATCATTAGATTTTTTATTACAAAATATTAATTTCATTGATTTGTCTTTTAAAGGATCTATGGGATTTGAGAATAGCAAAATTAAGATCTTCTGTTGATTTATTCATTAAAGAAGGTCGTGTTCAAGCTTCTTTAAACCATTTGACACCAATGGAGATTAATTCTGTGAGGCCCGTATTCCCAGATACATTGGATGCTTTAATGACGCTCCATGAAGTAAGATATAATAAAATCTTTTAATGTATAATACACATATTTTTACAATTTTTTGAAAAAATAATACTTTTTAAATAATAGTATAATATCTATATAATATTATCACTATAATATCATAAACTTAAGTGAAAATAATCAATTWACTAAGTTAAATTTATTTTTCTATTCAGCACATTAACTCGAGTGACGACAGGGAAGACAGCAGTCAGTCTTCTGTAGCAACTCCTAGTTCAGCATCTTTTTCATCATCTTTGTGAAATAATGTATTTATACCTARAATAGTCWAACTATTTGAAGTGTAAATAAACCTCATGGTACTGATCCTTTTCTGTGGAATCGGGTTAAATTATTTGTAATTCAAATTATGTAACATAATGAGTGTAATATATTTTATCTKAAAAGTCTGCAATATTTAAATTGTTTTTATTAAAACATTGATTTTCTTTAGTCAAGATCAAACACATTGTTGTATGTTTATTATGGTGATTGTATGTTAATGATAAGTATTATAT